GTTCTTCTCTCTCTCTCTCTCTCTCTCTCTCTCTCTCTCTTTTAAGCTGTTCCTAGCTTTGCACTAGGCTTGATGTGAGTGATTTTATTTTGTTGACCCTGATTGCATCCTTTATTTGTTATGTCTCACATTCATCGCTAATGAAATGAAGTCCAAAACCTTCAATCTTCCAGAACATGTCGGAATACAAATTACTTCAGCAAAATTAAATGAGTCCAATTATGTTGTACGGGCTCAATTTGTTAAAGCTCCTTGGTGCTAGGGGAAATTACAATACTTAACTAAGGACAAGTCTGGTCAATCTGATAGTAAATATGAAGAGCCGATGAGAGAATTACACAATCATGACTTGGTTGTGGAGTAGTATGGAAGCTTAAATAAATGCAAATGTGATGTTTTTCAACTCTACTATAGAAATTCGGGGTACTTCGAAAGAAACATATGCATCAGATAAGAATCTCTCTCTCTCTCTCTCTGTCTCTCTCTCTGTCGTATATGAACTATTTGAGAAAATGTTTCAATTGCAACAGAGTAATAAGAGTGTGAGTGACTACTGTAGTGCCCCTAGAGGTATGTAGAAAGAACTGAATCTGTACTAGCTTGTAATAGTGATGGGGGTATTACAGAAGAAGCAGAATGAAGAATATATAGTTGCCAAATTTTTATTAGGTCTTAGTCCTAAGTACCATCATGTATGTGGACAGACTTTGGCAAACAGTGAGCTACCATCCCTTCAACAATGTGTCTGGTTACATTTAAAGTGTAGGAGTCAGAAATAGATTGACATTGAATACATTTGTGGGAAAAGGTGATAGAGGCAGAGTCGAAGGATATGGTCGTGAATCAAGAAGAGGTCATAGTAGAGGTGATGGAGGCAGTCGTGGAACTCGAAATTGTATGCATTGTTGGCATACAAAACCTACAATTGGTAAGCGTTGGGATAAGGTTGGTAAGCATGCTTAGGCAAATCACATTACTTATACATCTGAGAGTGATGATGTTTATCTAAATGGATCTAGATCATCAACAACAGTCAAATTCTGCTGGTGACATTACTATCCTTACAGGAGAAGAATATAATAAACTTGCTAAACAAGTACAACAATCTACTGTCCACCCTTTCTCTTCCACTGCCAGTCTGCCACCCTTGCTAACTATGGTACATCCGTGCTTCATGCATCTTAGAAACCAACTCCTTGGGTTATTGACTCAAGAGCTTCCAACCACGACTGGTGAGTCCTCTTCTTTTGTATCTCTAGATAAGTGTATTTCTAATTCCTCTTAGTTTGGTTGGTGGATCAGTGTAGTGTCTGTAGATGGTATAATTATACCCTATTTCCTTTTGTCTGTGCTATGTGTTCTAAAGTTTCCTTTCAGTTTGTTGTTTGTGAATAAATTAACCAAATCTCTTCATTGCTCCGTAATATTTTATCTTTCTTCTTGCATTTTTCAGGATCTAAGGATGAAGATGAGGAAGACGATTAGTGGCTGGTATTAGTCAAGTGGCCTTTACTCTTTGGGTCCTAACATAATTGGCGTTGCTCTTCACTCTGTTGATTATCGCTTCTTATGGCCTTGTCAGTTGGACCATCCTTCTCGCAATGGCTTGAAGTTGTTAGTTCTTTCTCTCCTTTAGAGTATGAGGCTCGTTAGTTAGTGATGCAACGAAAAAAAGAAATTCAAAATTCAAATTACAATTTTATTATTATTAATTTTTTTTGAGTTTATCTTTTAAATTAGGAGGAGCGCAGGGATAGTCGGGCATTGACTTTGTGCGTGAGTTGATATTTATGGATTGGGTTAGTTAGTTTAGGAATGTAAATAGGATAAGGTTAATATGGTTAGTTTAGGAGTATAAATAGGATAAGGTTCAAACGTGGGGGTTTATCTTTTCAACAATGGGTAAAACGTGGGTGGCACATGAATTTATGAGAGAGAAGATAGGGATGAGAGAAAATAGGTTAAGGGAGATAAAATAGGAAAGTCAGTTGTTTATCTTCTTTTCTTTTTGTAGTCTATTTAAATGGACGTTTTCCTTCATTGTAAATGTGGTGAATGAGTTAATAAAATTTGGTCTCGTGAAGAGATTATTTTGGGGTGGATTCCCTTGCAGACCTTTGAGAGAGGGTATATTCTCTTAACTTTTTTTTATTATTTTTTTGGTGTTATTTTCTCCCTACGTCAATTTGCATCAAGTGGCATCAAAGCAAGTTAGGTTCATAGTTTACAATGCCACCAAAAGCAAATCAAGCTAATCCTGCTTCGGTTATAGATGATCGTTGGGGAGAAATTTTGACTAAAGCCCTAGAGGATTTTCGAACTGAAGTACATGAGATGAATCAGGAGATGAATCAGAGGATGCAACGGTTGGATCAGAGGTTGCAGCGGTTGGAGAACAATCTTTATAGTGAAGAAGGTACTCGTAGCCACATTCATCTTGTACCCGTAATTCCACAACAAACCGAGAATGTTGATTTCAAGCGTAATGAAAAAATTTACAGGACTGATCCACGTCCTATAGCGCAACCACGAGATTTTGATATTAAAATCGATCTCCCAAAATTTCATGGTCAAAAGTGTTTATCGATTGGATATGGTGCTTCTTTGGAGTTGGATCTATTTCTAGTTAGGAATAATCAACCCAAGCTCGTAGTCGACAATTACTTTTGGAACACATTTGCAGGCAAAGAGTCTTACAGAAATTGAAGGAAAAATATCGAGGCTCTTGGTGGGACTTCATCACCAACTTTTGAGAAGGCTCCTAAAAGATTTGATCTTGATAAGCTAGAGGTCGAGCTTCTCCCAACCCCGGGAGAATGATGCAGCGAAAAAAAGAAATTCAAAATTCAAATTACAATTTTATTATTATTAAATTTTCTTTGAGTTTATCTTTTAAATTAGGAGGTGCGCAAGGATAGGTGGGCATTGAGTATGTGCGTGAGTTGATATTTATGGATTGGGTTAGTTAGTTTAGGAATGTAAATAGGATAAGGTTAAATATGATTAGTTTAAGAGTATAAATAGGATAAGGTTAAAACGTGGGGGTTTATCTTTTCAACAATGGGTAAAACGTGGGTGGCACGTGAATTTAAGAGAGAGAAGATAGGGATGAGAGAAAATAGGTTAAGGGAGATAAAATAGGAAAGTCAGTTGTTTATCTTCTTTTCTTTTTTTTAGCCTATTTAAATGGACGCTTCCCTTCATTGTAAAGGTGGTGAATGAATTAATAAAATTTGGTCTCGTGAAGAGCTTATTTTAGGGTGGATTCCCTTGCAGACCTTTAAGAGAGGGTATATTCTCTCAACGTTTTTTTATTATTTTTCTGGTGTTATTTTCTCCTTGCATCAATTTGCATCAGTTAGGCAAGCATCAGAAGGTGTCATTTTGTCTTAGAACTTACAAACAAAGACCTGTTCTGCTTACAGTTCTTCATTCCGATACCTGGGGTCCTGTTCGAATACAAAGCATGATTAGTCATAGATATTTTTTGAGTTTCATTGACGATTATTCACAAAGGATTATATTTAATAAAAGAGAAGTATAAGATATTCTCCATTTTTTAAATTGTTTTCAAAAGGAGATTCAAACCTAGTTCAATAAGAATATGTGTGTTTTACGTTCTAATAATGCTAAAGGTATTTTTTTCAGAGAATTTCAAAATTATTTTCTCAAGATGGAATTTTATATTAAACTTCTTGTGCTTATACTCCTCAACAAAATGGGTTGATGAAAGGAAAAATCAAATTTACTTGAAATGACCCATACACTTCTAATTAATATATGTGTTCTAAAAGTCTATTGGGAAAGTACCTTGCTGACCTCATGTTAAATTAATCATATGCCCTCTTCGGTTTTGAATGGAAAAACACCACACTCAGTTTTCTTTCTTGATACTCCATTGTTTGTTGTGCCTCATCGGGTATTTGGGTATGTGTGCTTTGTTCATGTGTTAGATACTTGTAATGATAAGTTGGCTCTTCGAACTGTCAACTATGTTTTCCTAGGGTATTCATGCTACGAGAAAAGTTATCGTTGATATCATCCTGGTTTACAAAAGAAATTTTTTTTTGCTGATATTACCTTTTCTGAAAATACTCCTTACTTTTCAGAAGTGGGTTGTGTGTCTGGAAGAAGTTTCGAACTCCTCATTGTTTGTGCTGATGTTATCTTTTTTGAAAATACTCCGTACTTTTTCAGAAGGGGATTAGATGCTTGATGCAAATTTTTTTTATCTTGTTCTGGAAGAAGTCTCGAACTCTTGATCTGCTAGAGCTCCTCTTCCTATTCCTGTTGATACTTCTTCTTCACTTAGTTACCTAGATCTGCTAAATCTATTTCTTCTACACATCATCATGCCCCTTAGGAGCAGCCAATAAATAAAGGTTTACACGAGAGGGAAAGTACTAGTTGGACACCCTCCACGGACTCAGCTACCCATTCAATCATCATCTTCGCTACAGATGCACTTCCTGCTTCTAACTCATATTCTGTATCTGGTGATGATAATCTATCTATTGCCATCATAAATGTATAAGGCCTTGTGCTCAACATGTTATTCCTCATTATGTTACCTTTACAAATTTGTCTCCATCTTGTCAAAGTTTTACTTTAGCTCTTTCATCTATTTCTATTCCTAAGTCTTATCAGGAAGCACTTTCTCATACAGGATGGAAGAAAGCAATGGAAGCAAGAACTTGAATGATGCATAGGAGCTTACTGAGTTACAAGTTGAAAAGAGGACTGTTGGGTGTTACTGGGTTTATGCAGTAAAATATCAACCTTATGGCACCATCGGGAGATTAAAAGCTAGATTTTCTGAACGATACACCCAAACCTTTAGCATTGATTGCTCTGAAACTTTTGCTCTTATTACTAAACTTAATTCAGTTCGAGTACTTATATTTGTAGCAGCAAACAAGGGATGGCTACTGCGGCAACTTGATGTGAAGAGTGCCTTCTTCAATGGTGATTTACAAGAGGAGATATATATGTAGCGACTGCTTGGGTTTGTTGCTCAGGGGGATTCAAACAAGGTGAGTAAGTTGAAGAAAGTTGTTTACGGGTTGAAGCAGGCCCCACATGAATGATTTGTGGGCATATGGATTTTGATGCAGCAATTCAGATCATTCGGTGTTTATTTGGAAACAAGACTTAAAGATAATTGTCTTAGTTGTATATGTTGATGATATTGTCATTGCAATCAATGATCAAGAATAATCAATTATTTGAAGAGATATCTAAAACAATATGTTCAGACAAAGGATTTCGCCAGCTAAGGTATTTTTTGGGAATTGAAGTCGCTAGATCAAAGCATGGTAATAACTTGTATCAAAAAAAGTGTTTGATTGATTTGTTGACGGAAACTGGAACGTTAGGTGCTAAACCACTTGGTACTTATATGGATCCAAATACAAAATTATTATCTGATAAGGGGTAGTTGTTAACAATCCAGGAAAGTACGAAAGGCTGATTGGCAGGCTAATTTATCTAACCATCACTAGGCCTAATATGGTTTTGCAGTAAGTGTAGTGAGTCGGTTTATATACACTCTAGGATTTTTCACTGGGCTGCTGTTCATAGAATTGTGATGCATCTGAAGGGAGCTCCAGATTGAGGTCTGATTCACCAGTCAAATTATCATTTAACCATTGAGAGTTACTCTGATGCTGATTAAGTAGGTTCTCCATCTGATAGGCGGTCTACCACCGGCTATTATACATTTATTAGTGGAAATTTGGTTACATGGAGAAGTAAGAAGCTAAATGTTGTGATTCGATCTGGTGCAGAGGTTGAGTATAGAGCAATGACACATATTACATGTGAATTAATGTGGTTGAAAACATTGACACCGGAAATTAGGCTTACTATTGCTGGGCGTATGAAGATTCGTTTCCATTTAAGTTATTAGGACCTATATGTCCTATTTCCAATTTGTATGTATTTTCACACCACATATTTCATTAATATAAAAAGAAGATATGAGAGATGCATGAGGTCTGTTGGCTCTCACTCCACCCTCTATTCAACTCTTTCTCTTCTAATCAAATGAAAAAGGAAAAAACATGAAATTTCAGATGCTAAATTTTGGGGGTGGAAAATACCTAAAAGGTTTTAAAAAAAGCTTTAATCGATATTTAGTTTGAGAACCGTGCTGTATTGGGATGATGGCATGCATGTTTGCGAGTTCTTTTGTGGTTCTCTTTCTCGTCACGTGTTTATATGCTGTTGGGTTAATCTCAGCATGCCTATACTGACGTGTAGATTTTGTGAAGTACAAGAACTTGGTGATGTGCCATGCCCAGGAATAGTTCCCTACATTTGTTCTTTAGGGTGCATATATTTGTACTCTTCGGTGGGGCTTAGCATGCATTTTGAAGTTCAAATTTTTGTTAACACCAAATGTGGTTTCAGAAATGTGGAAATTTTTAATGATACTGTGTGATCAAGTGTAAATAACTTGATACTTATTTTGAGAATCTAAGAGTTTCCAAGTCTGGCTAGTTCAAATGAGTTCAAATGAGTAATACCGTATTCCTACTACATATAATAGATTTTAAGATCGACTGGGGCTTTGTGAGAGTTTTGGGACTCTGTTTCATATGTCTGAGTGTGTGCTATTGGGAAGTAGGTACATCTTTTAATCTTCAATCTCATGGAAATCATGGGGGCATGTGTGATACTTATGTTTATCAAAAGTGTATATGTTTGTTTCCTCTTTTTTATTGGATCTGCATGTGCCATAGTAGCTACATATGCCCATGCCCTTTGGGGCCCTTCCGTGCATGATTTCATTTGCATCATGTGTGAGAGAATTGTGTAGGCCATGGACACCCAGATGGTCTTTTTTAATGGCATGCATAATCAGGGTATTCATAGTTTCTAGTTTGTAGAGTTGTGGAGCAGAAACTTGTTGGCACATGGCCAGTGAGTTGCATAAAGTGACTCTTTATTGTGAGTCATTTTCAAATGTTGTTTTACTTACAGTAGAATAACATGATCATGTCTTGTGAATAGTTTTATAAAAGACTTTGCAAAGAAAGTTTAGTGACTACAGCATTGGATGCTCAATTTTTATGTTAAGCTTAGACTTTAACTCCATAGATTTGTCATGTTGATCCATGTGGACTCCTTAGTAGCGCTAGACCTGGCTTTCCAATACATCTCTCTCTCTCTCTCTCTCTCGTGCATGGGCAAACATAAAACTGTCTAAAACCTGAAAACTTGTTGCAATTTCTGAATATCAGTCTTTGGAATTGAAGAAAGACTATCCAATTCATCATTCCAATTATTTTGTTTTCCAATATAAATTACCTCTTTTTTCTTTGATTATGTGGAACGATATTCTGTCATTATGTGTTTTTTTGTGATGATGGTGATGGATTGAAATTTGGATTAGTTTTTTTCTGTTGAAAAATTGTTTTTATATATTCTGGTGCACACAATTTATGTTGTGATGCATTTGAAGCAAATGTTATTCAAATTGGGATAGCTTTTTGCTGGTTCGAATGGTTAATAATTTTTCAGAGTTCCTTTTAAATGGTAGAACCCAGTCACTGGAATCGGTTTAACTATTTAACGGTCAATTTGTTAGCCTTTCATTTTAATCTTTTTGTTTAACTAGGTTGATAGTGTGATGCATACCCTTGTGTGGTTTTTGCTTCAAAGATGGATGATTAACTGTTACAAAATAAAAGACTATATGCTTGCCTAGTTAATTGTCTTTCTTTTTTGAATTTAACTTTATTTTTTGCAATCTTTGCATGGCAACCATCTAATTCATTGTATTTTAGTTGTCTACTTAAGTTTATTGAAAGTATCAATGCTTTATGTGCATTTCTTGTTCTTCCTACTATTTGGAGCCATCTTGTTTGTCATCTTAAATGTGTGAAGAAATTTGTTATTTTGACCACATATCACAATCTTTTATTAATTGTCCCTTGTTCACTACCTCGGTTTCATCTTGTTGGAACCATGATGCAGTAAACAATTCTTAGTATAATATTTTGAAATCTAAAATTATCTTATACAGGTCTTTGACGCCTTCAACTATGTGATTTTATTGTCCAAGGGAAGCCTTATATGATGTGGCAATTGGGAACTAATGGGCCCACTTTCCGAGACCTTCCATGACTAGTTGGACTTCATGTGATTTAAGTGTCAGAGAGAGAGAGAGAGAGAACTATCTCTGAGTGAGAGAGAGAGACTTCATGTTGTTTAAATGTGCTTGTGAGAGAAACCCAACCTACTGCATGTTCAAGTTTTTCATTTGTGCATGAGAGAGAGACACTAGTCCAACTTGTCCATCTAAGAGAGAGAGAGAGAGAGAGAGAGAGAGAGAGAGAGAGAGAGAGAAGGAAGGGAGGGTAGAGATAGAGTACTACGTACGTAGTGTACTACTACTACTACTTAACTTCTACTACTACGTAGTACATACTACGTTCGTTAGGTTACGTACG